CGGGGGGGGGGGGGGGGCAACCCTGGGCAGACCCCGCCGCGTACCACTGAGCTTGAGGTACTCTACTTGCTGTTTGCAGTTATGGCCCCCGGTATCTAAAAAAATAGTTGTGAGGACGAATCGGACTAGAACGAACAGCCCTACGCACTACTGGTGTGAGGTTGGCGGTAGCCACGACAGGCGCTCTCACTGCCATCCTTGGCCTTGCCCAGGGTAACGAACGATCAACAAGGGCACAACAGAGAGACGCAGCGCAGGGGCATCACACTTTGCTACACACTCGGCATGGCACTCCCCCCCCCTACCACCGCTATTTGCTTCCCCTACCTGCAGCACCAGTTCTTCGAGCGGGGTCCGCAGCATCTCCGCCAGCGTGTGCGTCGGCATGTAGCTTCGGTGGAACGCCTCGGGGTAGAGCCGCCAGCACTTCCCGGCCCGCACGCGCCCGGCCCGCCCCGCCCGCTGGCTACCGCTGGCCTGCCAGCGTTCACCCGTACGACACAACCGAGAGGAAGTTTTAAAAAAGCGTATCGTGCGAGAACGGACAGAGCAGTGTGCTGAGTATCTAAGCGTCGCAGCACCATTTAGTCGACATGTCGACCGAGCTGCATCTAACGGCGTGCCGGATGCGACCGGACTTTTACTCTCATTTGCCCCCTCCAAGCAGCACCACGGGGTTTCGACGAGAAAAACGGCGGTGGTAGCGGTGCATGTATTTCAAGGGGTCTAGTCGTGCTCTGACCTTGGATATCCAGACCTCCACCAGGCACGACATGCGGGTCACGGGGTCGTAGCGCATCTCTCGCACCCGGCCCGCGTCAATCACGTGTGTGCAGTCATCGATCGTCACCTGCCGTGATGGGTTGCCGTCGCGGTTGGACCAAGTAAAAAAAAAAACAGGCGGAAAGAAAGGGCAGCAGCGAGAGCAGCACGCCGACGCCAGCTGTGGATGAGGCTAACAGCTGACAGCGACGGATCGACGTGGATTCATCGCAACCGAGATTACGGGGTCATCAACCTGAGCAGGGTTGACTGAATGAAAAATAGTGCATGTGTTGACATATAGCAGTGCGTCCGTAAAATGAAGGCCATGCACGGCAAACGACGGTTGGTTTACGCTTCGCCGCAAGCCCGCAACATCAGGCAGTTCTGGCGTGCGACACACCACCGAAACTTCGTGTGCCAGACACGTGCAAAACGCAGCAGTGTCCTCCACTTCACAACACATCAAACTACACGCAGGCAACACAGCAGCAGCAGTGGTGAACCAGCGCAAAGTGGTGCAGTGGTAGGCTAGTGCAACATGTTATCTGGCAACGATACGGATGCATAACCGAAATGGCACAAAAGGAGGCGTTGTCGCAACAGTCCGGGTTGGGTCGGGACTCCTCACCGACGTCTCAGCGATGTTGGTGGAAACCACGATCTTCCGGACGCCGGGAGGCATGCGCTGGAAGATCGACTTCTGCTGGTTCGAAGGCAGCGACGAGTGCAAGGGGAACACCCGCGCCCCCCGGCCGATCCTTGGGTGTCTCTGCAGCGCCTTCACCAGCTGATCGATCTCGGCGAACCCCGGCAAGAAAATCAAGATAGCCCCCAGGGGCTCGGCTTCGCCGCTGTTTCCTCGGGCTCCTTGTTTGCCCCCGCCTCCTCCACCTCGAGACCAGCCCCCGCTGCTGCCCGACCCACCGCCAACCCCCCGTTGCCTGTCATCACGCCCCCTTCCGCCGCCGCCGCCGCCGCCGCCGCCACGCGAATTTCTGCTGCTGGAACTATTCTGACTATCCCCTCTACCCCCTTCGCTTCCCCTGTTGCCCCCGTCCCCCTCTGTTTTCATGATGTGGTCCACCAGGTCTACCATGATATCATAGTCCACCTTGTCCTCGCATTTCGGGGACACCATCGCGGAAGCGGCGGCGGCGGCGGCGGCGGCGGCAGACGTTGCGCCACCGTCCTCGCCCAACTCCAACGGTTCTCCCGTGAGCGGATCGTACGCCGCCGGAGTCTCGCCATCGTCCGCCTCACTCCCCTGCCCTCTCGCCGCCGCTGCAGCCGTCGAGTGCCCCCTCCCGCCCGGACCCCTTCCCCTAGGGTCCGCCTGCGCGCCGCAGGCCCCACGGCCATGACCCCGGCCGCCATCTACTACCGCGCCGGAGGAAACTCGGGGCATGATTGCCGGGGTCCTCGTACCCCGGACAAGCCGGTTGACCTCGTCCATGTAAGTGACCTGGTCGGTCGGAAGGGTAACGGAGTGAGGCGGTGGGGACGATGCGGAGAAAAATGAGGCAGAGCTGGGACACGTTTCTAACCTCGCGGACGGCGAGCGAACTAAACCGCCCAGGATTGGCTTCTAGACGGTGCCAAGCAAACAAGCTCTGACAGCACCCCGTCTTTTCGCTGTTGTCTCATCCTCCTCGTATGCATATGTCTCTCTTGGATGCAAGCAAGTCGCACCTCGACCGGGAAGGTGCGGCCAGGGACGGTGATTGCCGGACAGCCGTGGAAGTACTTGGTGAAAAGATCAGCCTGTCGTCGTCACCGGAACGAACAAAGAACACACACAGGAGAGCACGGACAGACGAAAATCGTTGGACGGCAAAAAAATACCGCGCGAGACCGCGGGGCATAGAGTCGCGAAACGTACAATCAGTGCATTTCATACGGTACGCCACGTGAAACGACAAGACCTCGGTCAGACGAAGGGCGACATTTCCAGAGTTTGAGGCCTGTGCCTACCGGTGGGTAATTACGGCAACTCGGTTGCCAAAGTGGCCGTATCGAAGCAGAAAAACAACAGAAAGCCGACATTTGCCCGACGTTGGAGCTCACGCGTTGCAGGAAAACACATCTTCTCGGGACTACCCTGTACAGCCAACGATATACAAGACCAGCCTGCCCATCTTTACCTGAAGCGTAGCACTCATGAGCACCACGCGGAGGTCGGGTCTCTTGGGCAGAAGATCTCTCAATATCACCAAGAGGAAGTCTGTCTGTAGGTCTCGCTCGTGCACCTGAAGACAAAGACAAGAAAAAAAAAGAAGAAAGTTCGCCCGCCCGCCGACGGACGACACAGGTGCAAGCCAAACGACGAGGTCAACAGCCGCAACCCGCAACGCAAGATAACACCCGGGGCTCCATGACCCTCCTACCCACGCATTTCGCGGAGGTTCTTGTCGAGCACGACACGGAAGACACAAACTGCTGCTATAACCGCAACCCAAGGTAACACCCGGGATTCTCCATGCATGGTCCCCCGGCCCACGTGCTTCACCGAACTGCTTGGGTACCGTACGCCACGGAAGGCACAAACTGCCTGCCTGTGTCTACCTTCCTCGACTCTTGCAAGACCTCGGATTCGACAAATGACCAGCCTCGTCTTCCTTAAAAAAAAGGTCATCGCACTCCACCCCACTCGCCTCGTCCACCATGACGTGAGACACACCCGCCAGCGTGTCGTCGGACGTCAAGCGGCGGAGGAGGATGCCGGTGGTGCAGAACGTCAGTCGAGTGGACGGTCCTACCCGCGAGTCCAGCCGGATCTGGTACCCCACCGTGCCCCCCACCCTCTCACACCTAACAAAAACGTTTTTGGTATTGCAGCCGTGTTGTCGAGGCGAGACGGGGATGGGGGGGGGAAGAAAAGCCCTCGAACATGTTGGCGCGGTTTTCCGTAAACGATGGCGGGATCTACGATAGACAAACAACACAGAGGTTGAGGGGTGAGCAGCCCTTGCCACAGGAGAGACCAAACTTAAGAAAGACCCAAGGACTGTGCGGTTCGCTGGACACGGGCGACGCTAGAGTCGCCAGAGTCGGGGGGCAGCCCCCCCCCGCGTGCAAAACGGCGCATCAATCCTCACAAGCATTTCATTTCCGTACAACAAACACAAAGACCGCGCCGACAGCCTCTACCTGCAGATCAACAAGGGACCACGATCCCCCCTCCCGCTCTCACCTTTCCGACGCCACCCTGTCGGCGACTCCGACGGCGCTGATCCGCCGCGGCTGCGTGCAGATGATGTTGCACTTGCCGCCCTCACCCTGGTCGATGAGGTCGTCCAGCACAAACTGGGGCACCTGCGTCGTCTTTCCGCACCCCGTCTCACCGCTCAGGACCACCACCTACACGTCACCACGAGACGCGTACAACACCAGGGGATGGTAGTGGAACGCAGGGCTAGAGCGCATTGGATCAATGAGGAGAATGTACAGACAAAGCGCGGAAGGTGGCGTGGGAGCGGAATTGATCCGATGAGAAGAATGTAGAGAAAAACCAAAAGGTTCTCGCGAGGGGCGCAGGGTACGCCCTGCCTGCCGCTCGCCCGGCACGCCAACACGCACGAGGCTGAGCAACAAGCGCGTGCGCACACAAGAGGACCAGCGGGAGCGGCAGCAGTTGAAAGGGAACCAACACCAGCCGCAGTGCTGCAACGACTCCACCGCGCGGGCACAACATACTACTTGTACTACTTTTTTTGCTGGTGGTGGCACTTGAGCAGGTGGGCCAACCTCCTATGCTGGCATCCAGTCTCGTACCTGGTTGTCGCGGATGGTTTTCACGATATCCTCTCGTTGCAGATAGGCCGGAAGGTTCCGCCTCTGCGCCATCATCTGTGACGGGCGAAACATACCAAAGAAAAAAAGGGAGAGAGAAACGAAGGAAGTGCACGTACCGAGCGTGACGTTGTAGAACACACCGTTCATTCATTCGAGCATTGCCAACGAGAAATTCCAATCGCTGCAAAGGGAAGCATCTGATGGAAGGTACCCACAGAAGTGAGGCAAAAAGAAGCTTGCTCGACCTCTTTAGCCGATACGACCGCAATGGGATCGGGAGGTGCAATACAATCACGTGTGGTACGATGGAACTTTTCAGGGTACCGTTTGACGCACACATATGCATCGTCATCACAGAGGTAAGACCCTATGCCAACGTGATGCGGACATCTACGTACTTCGTCACAACCGAGGAGGGGGCAGACGAGACGACGCTACTTGCTAGGTTTTCCGGCGACATTCAAAAGGAAACGGTACAGGAAAATCGCATGGTAACAAGACCTGACAACAGCGATTGCCACTAGAAAACAAAAAGATGTTGAACTACCAGATGAAGAAAACTCGACAACAAAACGATGTTGAACTCCCAGTGAAAAAGTCGACAGCAAAAATAACTTGCAACCCCTGCTGAAAAACAAACCCGACAACGCGCAGAAAGAGCTCGCCTGCCTCGACTGCGCCGTGCTTTCCACCTCGCGCCTCTTGTCCATCATGCGCTTCCCTGCTTCCTCGTCGGAGACGTCGCCGCCCCTTGCGCGCCCCACAGCCCCCGACTGCCGCTCCCTCGCCCGTGCCCTGTACGTCTCCCTGATCCGGCCGAGCGCCGCCAGAGCCACTGCCTCCTCGTCGTCTTCCTCGGTCCGCCGTTCCCCCTCTCGGTCCGCCTCAAGCGGCGCGGCCGAAGTCTCGCCGCCGTCATGTTTGCCGCTACCGCTACCGCTGAAGGCCTTGATGCCTTCCGCAGGGGCTGAGGACGCCGCAGCCGTCGCCACCGGGGCCTTCTCTTTTGTCCCACCAGCCCCACTGGTACAAGAAATCAAGACGACCGCGTCGTTGGGAACCCAGGAGAGATCGGACAGCCAGTCCACCACCTGGTGGTTGGATGGGGAGCAAGAGTTTACCAAAAAGACTCAGGCAGGATGGGTTGAGGCAATCGGCGAAGAACGTAATGCGGCAGTGGTCTCTGTATAACGCCGGTCGCCCGGTACAATGCAGGTGAAACCGTCTAGCACAAATGGGATATTCAAGTTGTCTCATACTCTGAATAATGCCGGCTGCCCGCTATAATGCCGGTGAAATCGGCTGGATGCCACCGGCATTATACCGGGACTCCTACTGTGCTCTTGAAACGACAGCACAGGTGGGCCCTCAATCTTGCACCCAGTCAGCGTTTTCAAGATTTGCAAAGAAGAACACTGGTGAATCTAAGATGCCGCTTTCCCACCGGCAGCGGGACCATTCCACGGACCCATCCGGGACCGGCGTAAGCCCACCCAACCCCAAGTGATAGAGGCAGCACGAGTCAGAGCGACATGAAATTACCCCCCAACAAGATGAGAAACGACGAGCTGCAATACGAAATCAACCAGCATGATGACCCTCCTCATTCATTCAGCGGAAGACAAGCAGCGTAAGGATGTCTTGGTATTGCACGGCTGGTTCACCTCCTCGCTCTCAAGTAGCGCCGCGCCCTTGGCTTTCTTCTTGATGTGCAGCTTCCCCCGGCAAGTGTTGAGGAAGCCCTGAAGGGGCTCCTTGCGGTCGAAAACTAGAATCTGCGCGGAGGGATGGGCAATGCGGGCATCGAACCTGAGCCCGGGAGCATCGCCCGTTGTGTTGTGCTCGCATCAAGGTTCGTCCAAACGCTCCACCCAGCCGCCGATACCGGTAGCCGGGGCCAGTGTTGCGCTAGTGTTGCACCAACGGAGCAGACGACAACCCGCGCTCCGCGAAACAACCGCACAAAAGCAGATAACTCAAGCCGTGGGGGCAGACAACAGCGACAGCCAACAGACGCCCACACCAACAACCGAGCTACACGGAGGGCCACCAAAAAGACGGCATGCAAGTTCTGCTCCACGCGTCGACACACTCCTCGCCTTCTTTCCGTTCAGGTCCGGCGCGCCGGTCTTCTTTCTCTCGCCGCACACCTCCAGGCGAACCTTGTCGTTCCCTTTCCCCGCCCCCGGCGGGTCCGGGCGTTGATACCCGCGGGCCACCGCCCCACTGACTGGGCCGCCTCCTACCGTAGACGCCGCGTGGATCGCTGCCGATGACACCCCACCGGCCTCCCGTGGCACCTGCTTGGAGGTCTTGCGGTCTTCCTGAACCATGGAAGCAAGGAGCTTCTCACGCGTGACGTTGCTCCGCGCGGCGCGTTTGCTCGCGCTGCCGCTGCCGCTGCTGGTCCCGCCGCTACCCCCGAGGAGTGGGTTCTTTACTTGCTCCTGCTGTTGCTGGCGCTCTTTAGTAGCCCCTGGCATCGGGAGGCTGTTGCCTGCTGACAAGTTGCTGGCCTCCATAGAGACTGCTGATTCTGCGGGTGCTGAGTCGTTCACGACCAACCCGGACATGAGGTTCGCCATGTCTCCGAAGCTTCCATCGTAATCGAAGTCGCCGTGGCCTTGCCTGTCGTCGATCTCAACATCTGCGTCTGACCCACCCCCACTGCCCTCCTCGCTGTCGCCGCTACCATCATTTTCCTCTTCGTGCTCGTCGTCTTCCTCGCTGTCTTCGTCGCTACCCTCGCTACCGTCGGTTTCGTCCTCGGCACCGTCCTCTGCACCGGCAACGTGCAGCTTGTGCAGGATGTCGAGAATCGCGTCTCGCCCCTCCTTGTCCAGCTTGATGCGCACCGGCTTGAGCCCGCCGCCCCGTGTGTGGTCGTCGTTGCCGTCCTTGTCCTTAGCGTTAGACTTTCCCCACGCTTTATTCTTCCTCGAGGGGGCCTTGTCCCCTTTCTTCTTGGGCTCTTTACCGTCCGGTCCTAGTCTTGGTTTCTTGTCCTTCTTGCGGCTGCTGCTGCTGCTCTCGCCCGATTTTTTGTCTTTTTTGCTCTTTTTTGGCGCCATGACTTCAACCTGTTTTTGGCCTGGACGGGTCGGACAAGGCAGGCAGTGGTGCGGAGTATCGACCTCAAAAACGAAGCAAAACAGGAGTGTCCAGGGAGCGGAGTCGCACAAGATGCAGTGTGCGCCACGACCTCTGATCTTTATGTTGTTGAGGTCAGCTGAAAGACTGCCGAGCGCCGAGTAACCAAGATAGTCTGCCCTATTCCCTTTTTCGTATATTGTGCTGCGGGTGCTTTGGGAGGTTGGTTTTTTGCTTTGAACGTCAGATTTGATGTACTTTGGATACCGAGAGGATCGTTTGCTTCTTGGTCGCGGTATTATCCCTTCAAG